CCTTAATCCGGATCATTTCCCAATCTGGGTCATGGCTCCGTGTCCATCCTGCCCAGGCCATGGGGGTGTGTCTGGGCACAGGGGATGACACCCAGGGTGACATCCAGAGTGACACCCAGGTACCCCAGGGTGGGTGTGGATCCATCCAGCCCCCGCTGCCCCACCCTGGGAGCCCCAGGACTGCCCAGAACTCAGGGCAGGGGAGGAACGATGCCCCTCCCTCACTTCCCTGCTGGTTCCGGGGGTGGGAATTAGGACCAAAACCCTCTTTTGGTTCCTTTAAAGAAGGACTCGGTAGGGCTCAGGATTGCTGCCACAGATCAGCCCCAAAGATCTCTCTCCCCTCTGGCACTTGAGTGTAGACCCAAACAAACCCATAAACCCTTGGGATTGTAACAGGTTCTAATTAAGCCCAAAATCTGTGGGGCAGCCCCTCCCCAGCCAGGGGCAGAGGAAGGGGCTCAGCCCTGGGCATGAGGCTCCCACTCTGGCATGGGTGGGGTCCCTCCTGGCAGTAAATAAAATAATAAATAATAATAATGAAAAAAAAAATAAACAAAAAATTTAAAAAGTAAATAAAACAAACCTCCAGCCCTGCCTGCCCCTCTGCAAGGAGAGGCTTGTGTGCCTGGAGCTGCTCATCCACCAGGCTCTGGAGATGGAGCTGCCTGGGCCTGAGCAGCAGCTCCCTCAGGGCTCCTGCACTCACCCATGGCGGGCAGGGACCATGGGACACCCCAGGGACCATGGGGCACCCCAGGGACCATGGGACACCCCAGGGACAACTCCAGGGCCAGCCCCAGGGCTGCAGCAGCCATTCCCATGGGATCCCGCCTGCCATTCCCCCTGGAGTCAGGGGAACGATGGGAGGGGGATGTGGGCAGCTGCCAGGACCTGGGGAATCCTCCCTGGATTTGGGAGAGGGACTGGGGACAAGGATGGAGGGACAGGACCCAGGGAATGGCTCCCACTGCCAGAGGGCAGGGCTGGGTGGGAGATTGGGAATTGGGAATTGTTCCCTGGCAGGGTGGGCAGGGGCTGGGCTGGAATTCCCAGAGCAGCTGTGGCTGCCCCTGGATCCCTGGCAGTGCCCAAGGCCAGGCTGGACACTGGGGCTGGAGCTCCTAGGACAGTGGGAGGGGTCCCTGGGGGTCGCACTGGGTGGGATTTAAGGTCCTTTCCCACCTAAATCATAAATTCAGTGATTCCACCAATGATTCCATCATTCCACCTCAATGATTTCCTGGTTATCTCCAGGTGAGGACCAGGATTTAATTCTGGAGAACAGAAAAGTAACCAGAGCAATAAACCCCAGGCACTGAGCTGTGTAAAAAAATCCATTTATTGCAGTTTTAACTGTATCAAAAAACCCCAAAGGGAACAGCCCAGGGAACACACAGGCCACATGTGGAACCGAACCAAAAACTCTCCATTTCAAGGGAGCTGCAGAAGGGTTTCACCGTCAGTGGCACAGCCAAACCAAAATTCCTTTCAATTCCGAGTTCTCCCCAGAGGAAGGGGAGGGGGAGAAGCTGCACAGTGAGACGTGGGGAGGGGACAGCCTGCATGGGTGTCACCGCCAGCGGGTGTCACCGCCTGCACAGGTGTCACAGCCAGCGGGTGTCACAGCATGCACAGGTGTCACAGCCTGCACGGGTGTCACAGCCTGCACGGGTGTCACAGCATGCACGGGTGTCACAGCCTGCACGGGTGTCACAGCCTGCACGGGTGTCACCGCCTGCACGGGTGTCACAGCATGCACGGGTGTCACAGCCTGCACGGGTGTCACAGCCAGCATGGGTGTCACAGCCTGCACGGGTGTCACCGCCTGCACGGTGTCACAGCATGCACGGGTGTCACCGCCTGCACGGGTGTCACCGCCTGCACGGGTGTCACAGCCTGCACGGGTGTCACCGCCTGCACGGGTGTCACAGCATGCACGGGTGTCACCGCCTGCACGGGTGTCACCGCCTGCACGGGTGTCACTGCCTGCATGGGTGTCACAGCCAGCGGGTGTCACCGCCTGCACGGGTGCCACAGCCTGCACGGGTGTCACAGCATGTACGGGTGTCACAGCCAGCTGCTGTCACACCCTGCACGGTGTCACCGCCTGCACGGGTGTCACAGCCTGCACGGCTGTCACCGCCTGCACGGCTGTCACCGCCTGCACGGGTGTCACAGCCTGCAGGGGTGTCACACCCTGCACGGGTGTCACAGCCTGCACGGTGTCACTGCCAGCACAGGTGTCACAGCCTGCACAGGTGTCACTGCCAGCACGGGTGTCACAGCCTGCACGGGTGTCACCGCCTGCACGGGTGTCACAGCCTGCACGGGTGTCACCGCCTGCACGGGTGTCACCGCCTGCACGGGTGTCACAGCCTGCACGGGTGTCACAGCCTGCATGGGTGTCACAGCCTGCACAGGTGTCACCGCCTGCACGGGTGTCACCGCCTGCACGGGTGTCACAGCCAGCTGCTGTCACAGCCTGCACGGGTGTCACCGCCTGCACGGGTGTCACACCCTGCACGGTGTCACCGCCTGCACGGGTGTCACCGCCAGCTGCTGGACCCTCGTGCCCCTCGGTGCCAGCCCAGCCCCGCGGGCACTGACCCCGCAGCTCCGGGTCACTGGATCTCCCCCATGTACAGCCTCTTGTCACTGGACGCAGACAGAACTGGGGCAAGCAAGGAAAGGAGTAAAGGATTAGAGCAGAATGTAAACATTCTAACAATATAAAAACTGAAACACAAAAATAGAATATAAAAATGGAAATAGAATGCAAAAATGGAATATAAAAAGTGACACAGAATACAAAAATTAGAATAAAAAAATTGAAATAAATGCAAAAATTAAAATAGAATACAAAAACGGAATATAAAAAAATTTAATATGAAAATTGAAATAAATGCAAAAATTAGAATATAAAAACTGAGATAGAATGCAAAAATTAGAATAAAAAAACTGAAATAAATGCAAAAATTAGAAGAGAATATAAAAATTAGAATGCAAAAATTAAAATAGAATATAAAAACTGAAATAGGATACAAAATATAATATAAAAATGGAAATAGAATACAAAAAATTGAATATAAAAACGGAAATAGAATATAAAAATAGAATATAAAAATAGAATACAAAAATTTGAATAAAAAAAGTGAAATAGAATACAAAAATTGAATATAAAAACTGACACAGAATATAAAAGTTAGAATATAAAAATTGAAATAAATGCAAAAATTATAATAGAATACAAAAACTGAAATTGAATACAGAAATAAAATATAAAACTGAAATAGAATACAAAAATTAAAACAGAATATAAAAATGGAGATAGAATGCAAAAATTAGAATAAAAAACTGAAATAAATGCAGAAATCAAAATAGAATATAAAAACTGAAATAGAATACAAAAATTTGCATACAAAAAGTGAAATAGAATACAAAAATTAGAATATAAAAATTGAAATAAATGCAAAAATTAGAATATAAAAGCTTAGATAGAATGCAAAAATTAGAATAAAAAAACTGAAATAAATGCAAAAATTGGAAGAGAATATAAAAACTAGAATGCAAAAATTAGAAAAAAAACCTGAAATAAATGCAAAAATTAGAAGAGAATATAAAAACTAGAATGCAAAAATTAAAATAAAATATAAAAACTGAAACAGGATACAAAAATATAATATAAAAATGGAAAGAGAATACAAAAATTTGAATATAAAAAGTGAAATCGAATACAAAAATTGAATATAAAAGCTGACACAGAATACAAAAATTAGAATATAAAAATTGAAATAAATGCAAAAATTAAAATAGAATACAAAAACTGAAATAGAATATAAAAATAGAATATAAAAAGTGAAATAGAATACAAAAAATTGAATATAAAAACTGAAATAGAATACAGAAAAGAATATAAAATGTGAAATAGAATACAAAAATTTGAATATAAAAACTGAAATAGAATACAAAAAATATAAAAACAAATAGAATTCAAAAATTAGAATATAAAAAGTGAAATAGAATACAAAAAATATAAAAACAAATAGAATTCAAAAATTAGAATATAAAAACTGAAATTGAATACAAAAATAGAATATAAAAACTGGAATAGAATCCAAAAATTAAAACAGAATATAAAAACTGAAATAGAACATAAAAATTAGAACACAAAAGCTGAAATAGAATACAAAAATTACCCCCGTGGTTTGAGACCTCCCCAAGGACAGCCCAAACTCCTGATTTTGCTGGAAGCAGAGCTCAGCTGCTTCCCAGAACAGGCACGGAGCAGCGC